AGCGAGATCGCGCGAGACGGGCCCGTCCCGCAGGGCCCCGCCACCTGGCGGGCCGGCCCGACCCGGGAAGACTCGTGCCCCCGCGGCCCCACTGCCCTCGGGTTTCCGCTGACCCAGCAAAGGAGGGGAGAGGAGCGAGGGCCGAGGCTACAAGAGTTTATTCTAGAAGTTTATTCTAGAGGCTCTGAAAAATGAGGTTCCCAGGCTGTTCACACACTCGCGCGCGCACTCAGGTCAGGTTTTAAAATCTAAAGAGCTTGGATTTAAACCATGTCCCTACCCGGGAGGCGTCGGGCGGAAGGTCTGCCCGGCCGCGCTCCCCCGTCATTTTAAGTGCGCGTCAAGTGGCGGGGTTGTGTTGAGTTGTTCTGAGTAGTAATTGCATCGTTTTGGGCGAGTTGACGGGAGCAGCACGTTCAGAGTCCCGTGGTATATTTGATGGCGCTCGCAGCCGTACCCTCCGCAGGCTGGAGAAGCTGTCGCCCTCCGACCTGGCGCGGGCCGCTCCTATCCGAGCCCTGCTTGCCGGCACTCGGCTGGATCCCCAGGATCCAGCCCGCGCCGGAGGCCGTCGGAGTCCGAGTTATTTCCGTGTGAAGAAGGTAGAAAGGCCAGTTAGGGAATGACGATGGATTGCCTACGGAGAGGGAAGCTACAGCTTTCACTGTAGCTGATGGCTAAAGCATGACACTATGACATCTCCGTGAAACTCGTGATTTGTATGGTATTGGTTCGCTGGAACATCCAGACCCTGATCGTGCGTATAATGTTTCCTTGTAAGCAGCACTCGCCAATTTAAAACCAGGCCCCTGGTGCCCCATCTTGCTAATCCCTTCTGCCATTTGTCTGGTTAAATCCTCTTTTTTAGCCCCTCTCTTCCTTTCCTTGTCTCCTTCCTTCCTTCCTTCTCTCTCTCCCTCCCTCCCTTCCTCAATCTGAATCGTTCGTGCTGAATGCGTCCCAGTCTGAGGGTAAGGGTTGCGGTAGCCCCCCTCCCCCATCTCCCCAGCACGGCTTGCTGCTTATAAAATTGGAGAGCTCAACTTTGGACCAAAGCACTTTTGAACAGTGAAGTTTCCAATTCAGAGCCATCTGTAAATGCCCATAAATCGGTATATACGGATTCCCCAATCAGGTTAGAAAGCCTGTAACTTAGAATCGTTTTGGTGATGTGTGTTTGCTCCAGCAAGAGAGGAGCTGACCAGACAGCTTAAGTTTGTGGATACAGAAAGGTTTTTCTTTTAAAGCAATTATCCAGTTGCAGGCAACTGGTTCTTGATTCCCTCACCTACCAAGGCAGTTTGTCACTTTGGCCCTTCATCGTGACACATTCCGCATTTTTTAGTTATAAGCTGAAGCCTTCTCCCATGTCAGAGAGAGTGCCATTGCATTACTGCTTTTGAGACAACTTTGGGGGCGATACCTACAAAAGTGTCTTCCTGTCCTTAAGAAGAGAGTGAGGCCAACTGAGAGATTTTAAACTTCCTTGTGGCTGGGACTGAATAAGATGTATAAGGTTTACTCACCTTTAGATGCCTTAGGGTACTCACTGACACCTTCCTATCTTACAGACTTAGATTCAGTCCCAAATCCCTCCCATGGTGGAAAGAGGACAAGCAGTTGAGATTCTTCTTTCAGTTCATTAGGAAAAGGAAAATAGCTTTTATGAGGTTGGGGCATCCTTTATAAGTTTTGATGTTCAGGAAAAAATGACAAGGAAAGCAGGAAGAAAGTATTCTGTTATTTCAGTGGATTACTTTTCTAGTGCAAAGTTATGAAACACTGGATTAAACATTTTACATTTGCCATCTCCCACTCCACCTTTAGTTAGAGGAAGTATTTCTCCTATTGACTTTCAGTTTTGCATAATGCCCCCTCCACCTTTCCTACGAGAGAAAATGAACACACTCCTTAGCCTGTTCTATTAAAGGTCACTCTTGACTTATATTCTCCACTCCCTCCCTCCCCTGATACACTTATACGGGCATGTTCTTGATCCAGAGAGTGTTGAGATGTGCCTAACTTTTTTAGTATTGCCCTGACTTTCATTCTTTTTGAACTGATATTGAGGTGTTTATCCTGAGGCATAAAATGAATTATTGAGAAACAATCATGTGAAATACTGTTTAATTTCCCGTTTTATTGTTTGTGTTTGTTTTTCAAGTTTCGTAGGAAAGACTTTAATTGGTGTCTAAGTAATAGTCCCCAAGAATCCCTTATTAGATTACTTTAGACTAGTTGTAAACCAATAACTATTGTTTCCAAAAGGGAAAGTAAAAGCTAAGATCAGTCAAAAGATTCATTTGAGTGTTTATCTTTCTTTTATTTTGAATGGTTTTGGGGAAGAAAAGGAGGACTAAATGGGGCAGGGGGCAGAGATAGAGAACCCAGTGAAAACTTGTTTTTAAGATTAAAGCCATTTTCCCAGACTATTGTCCAGCCACAAGTGACAAACACAGAGCCAAAGTCATGAAAGTGGATTACTGTCACACTGGGCTATTGGAGGCCCAGAGAGCCCTGGCATTAATTCCTACAGCAAGGTAGCTAAACCTAGCCATCCTCCCCAGCACTGCCCCTGCAGCGCCCTCACTGCCTAACAGTTCAGGGTTCAGAGTTGATACAGACCTCAGCCAGGTCTAGGTGGCAGGGCTTCCCCTCCAAGAGGAAGCAGATGTGCTTTGTGGAACTGAGGGGGAAGCCGGGTGGCTCTAAGAATAAGCCTGAGGGGATGGGGCGCTGTAGCAGGAGGACTGTGGCCACCAGTCCCCTGGCAGGATAGCAATCAATGAGTCAAAGCTACCTAACAGTGAATGAAAGCGAGCCAGGAGGAGGCCCCTTTGGGTCCTAGAGACTAACCTTTAGCTGGTTCCCCTCCTCCCCCTGGACTCCCCTCCTAGGTTTTCTGGGATTGGAGACCTAAATAGAGGAGAAGGGGAGCATGGTAAGAAAACATGCCTAACCCCTCTCCAACATGCATGCACGGCTGGAGCTTGCAGAGATCAGGAGACACAGCTCAAGTCCTTAGTGATCTGTGTCTGGCTTGTGCAGTTGTGCATGGCCAACAGGGGGTGGGGGGCGGCGGGAGGAAAGCCCGGCTTTCTCCAGTCGCTCTATCTGGGGGTGGTGTGTCTCCTCTCCCCCAACCCTCCACCTCACCCCATCAAGACCAAATAGAATTGAAACTCCATTGCCTCTGCCTGCACTGAACCTAAAAACTCAGGATTCGATAAGGTTACTACACCATTGATACAACTGCAGATTTTTTAAAAGCCTCCTCAAAGAGACAGATGTTTGGGCTGATTAAGAATTGAGGAGGAAACCTGCAGCTGCACCAAAGAATAATCTATTGGACAAATATTTTAATAAAAAAATATGAAGAGATCAGCCCGACCTTGCAAGGTCTTCTGCTTTAAAAAAAAATCTTTATCAAACCCCTATTCTATGGCTTCAATAAACAGAACCCATTACCTCACGGCATCTTTTGTTGGCCCCATACAAGAGAGAACAAAATGGTTATTCAGGGGAACGCTTTCGATTTTTATTGTGGGTAGCCTGCACAAAGAGCCGTGTTATTGTATTTAAAAGAACCATCTGTAGCAGAAACAATGGCATCAAATTATCTTTGAATACCCACTGAAAAAACATAAAGCTTTTTTTTTTATTCTTCTTCTGTACGGTGGGGGGATAGAGCAGTGTTAGGATAACTGACTTTTTTGTTGTTCTCTGGGTGCATTCTTCTCGCTCCCCCTCTCTCTCCCCTC